GATGGGAACGCACACCTCTTGAAAAAAGTAAATATTGCTGCCATATAACGCGAAAATTGTTGAGCTAATAGCTGTCAAAAGATGGTTTCGTTTTTTCGCACAAGGCTTAATGAATGAGGAGGATAAAGCATGTTGCCAAGCTCCTCCTCCACCATTTCATTATGCTGTAGTACAAAGGTACTTAATTTCAGCCTCCTTTCAATAGGCTTCGCACGGCGGGACTGTAAACACTAGAGAGGCATTAAAAAATGGGATCGGTGGATGAGAGAGAGAGAGGAGTTACAATTTTTGGATGGATGGAGAGGTGGAGCCGGAATGGATGACTAAAGAAGACTCACACAAAGAAGAGTACGCCATTGGGTTCGAAGGTACGGAACTCGATTTCAAAGGAGTGGAAGACAGAGAAGTCCCAGGTGTCGAAACGCACCACCGAGGACTGAGTGCCCATGAAAGTGACGGGCATGGGAGCGGTGTGCAGTGTGATGCCCGCATGGCCTCTTGTTGATGCTGTTGGCATGAGAATTGAGGAGTCGTGCAGTCGGAATCGCGGTGAAGGATGGAAGGGCATATGATACTCGTATTGCACATCACCCTTGCGTAGCACGTCACGTGTCCAGTCTGGATCGCGGATTAACTCCAGCATGTTCAAGTTGGTGATGCCTGAACCCTCCTGCGTGATCTTGGCCTTTGGGCGAACAAAATACGGGAAATGAGTAAGGCTTAGAGAAGCATTTCCACTTGTATGACCTTCCATCATCCATCGCTCCATAACCGCCCTCTTGTGATCGTAAAAGATTTTATGAAAAACTCAGCAATGCTGACAACTTGGTCTTGGGCGACAAGTACACGCTGTGAATACAAATGAAAGTTAAATTATTCCAACCAGTGGGCAAATGGAACGAAAGCCTTCTGACAAGAGCGTGCGCCTTTCCCTTGACAGTTTGGAAAAGCAAAAGCCGGCTCATTGTCCTACTTGTCATTACTGGATTTGGCGAGAGCACTTTTATGGGGCTCAGGTCCAAATGAAGGCTACAAATATCCTAAAAACAAAAGCCTACTTTTACCACCGAATTGGTTAACAATGTCTTGTTGTTGGCCTTGGGTGATAAGTTAGGCTATTCGTGTTCCATCCAAATCCCACTTTGGTCTCCACATCTCTCTCATCCGGCCTGAAAGCCACCCTACACCTCATAGACTAGAAATCGCCAGTTGCAAAGCTTCGGGGCCTCTCTGTAACAGCAAATGCACCTGAAATCTGCAGTGTATAGCTCCACATCGAAGGAGGGAGGGTGGAGCATGCAGCAGTGCAAGAAAAGTAACTCACTGCAGTAACACTGCCATCGAAGTTTCGAGCGACCTCACCATCGGTTGAAATTGCAGCATTGTCCGACCCACCGATGTAGATCACTCCATTCTCGGGAATCAATGGTGCTTTGCCAGAGACAATTTTCTTGAATCGTTGCTGTGTGCCGAGGCTCAATCGAAGCTGTAAAAAGAGGAAATTCCGAGATTTTGTGATTTTTCTAGTTTGGTTCCCCTCAACTCCAAGCCCTTCACTGCACCTCCTGGGGTTTGCGAACTTTACGCCTCATGCAAGCGTTGTTTTTGCACCATAACTTTATTTCTGCCTTAACTTATGCAGTGGGGGTGAGCGATGCGATGAGGTGTTAGCATTGAGGCCTGCGGGGTTGCCTTCGTCGCCAAACCGATAGACGGAGGTGCATAATCACGTCTGCCTGAGCAAAAATCACACGCTTCTACGCGTTTCGACGTGAGAATACTGTTCGCCATGGGGTGCACTTTTACTGCGCCCTCCACAGCTCCCAACCAGTCGCGGTTAATTTGAGCCAGAAAAGGCGCAATTAAGCGCCTTCAAAAGTTCGCTCTGCTTAGCGTATCGTCAAGGCTTGCAGAGGACGTATTGGATGCTGAGGTGGGAGTTGACGTCACTGTCACCTCAAAAATATCGCCCTGAATGAGTCGGTAAATTCACTCAGTCATCAGGCTTCTGGCCTGCTACCTCAACAGCTTTTATGGCTTCGTTTTACTAAGTCAAAGTAGAGTCGTCTCGTCACAAAACAACTGTGTCGTTTGTCATATAAGTGGAGTGTCGCTTGAAACGTTTCTTTTAAAAGCTCTTAGGAAGTCTCTTTAACGAATGCTCCAGAGAAAGCATCACATAAAAGCAACGTGAATGCGACCCGTAGTGCATTTCCCCACTCCACTGGGACATTTAAGGCAACTGTAAACAATCGCTGACGAGAACTAAGGTGAATCGCTTCACTCACCACATCCTGATAACGATTCAGTCGTAGACGATGTGTTTTTCCGGGTTCCAGAGTCTCATTGATGACTATTTCTTCAGTAAGCGTCCGTTTGGCTCCAAGGGTCTCGTCGTACGCGATGTACTTGTAGTAGAGTTTAGAGTCCTGTAGCAAAAAAAAACAATAAGGCGTTAGAACACAACAGGCGCGTCGGCTTCCTTCAGCTCAGCTATCAACCAGGAATCGCATTTAGTCGCCTTCTCAACATCGTTAGCCTCCTCAGCTCGTCTGCACATCGTCAAGTCACATGCCAGACCAGTTATTCAACATCACTTCCTCGCTGTCCCGATCGTGCAGGACACCTGATTGGACGGAAGGGCTCTGTTGACGGAAACGACGTCCAAGCTTTGGAGAATCCTCATTCCAGAGTGTTAAAATAACAAAATTTTAACTAATTTAAGTATATCGCTTAAAAAAAAGAGTGCTCAGTAGATGTCCTAGCTTTTCACCAAATGTTGTGACCGACAGAAAGTCCTTGTTGCTGAACAAGAAACCGTTTTAGTCGTCGTCTCCTGATTCATTCTTTTTCTCATCTAATCCGTCTCGCAGAGGTCTCTGCCCTAACAACGTTGTCTCTTTTGATGAAGGTAGAGAATCACCAGCTGAAACTGCATATCCTTTAACGATGTAGTTATCAGGATAAACTCGTAAGCCTCCACAATTCCAAGTAATGCAGGGTGTTTTGTCTTTCTTTGCGTCATTGAGAGAACTTAAGGTGCTACAGTGTATGATTGCTAAATGACAAAGCCTCACAAAAATTTACCTCGAAGGAGCCTTCCGCTGAAAAAGCTCACCTTGATGACAATGAAACTCTTGGAGGCAGCTCCTTCAGCGAACCACAGGAGGCCAGATGTGACACCCGGTTTAATAACAAAATCCAGTGCCACCTCCTCTCTTCCCACTTCCGCGTCCGACCGCGGAAGTTTAATGCGATTGCGGAAATCGTAGCGCACGAAGCCGTTGGTGCCCTCGAAGTTCAAGGCTGAAACGTTGGCGCCTCTCTCGTAGCTGTAGCTATCCCTTCGGGAACGACTGAGGGGCGTTGTCTCTTCACTAACAACGCTAACAGCAGTGAGGACTCGTCGAGTATGATTAGTAGGTCCAACATGAATGCCAGCCGGGGGAAGAGAACTTGGCGAGGCTAGAGGACCGACGAACATACGTACCCTACCAAAAGCCTGTTCACCCTCCTGAGTTGATACAACGAGGTCCATTTCTGCGGTGTCTGGTTTCACCACCACCTCCACAGTGGTCCAATCAGAAATGCCACCAGGAAGGAGGGCCTCCGAGATGACATAATTGGCCCATGAGGCCCGTACTACGCCAGACATGGGCTCGTAGTCAACGTGGAGGTAAGGCGCCACAGTGACAAGATTGAATGAACCTCTTTCACCGACCGTTCTATCCACATCCTCCACGAGAAGGAAGTTGAATCGTAAGTACACTTCATCTGGCAAATATCAACAGTAACAAAGTATTAACCACTTTGCGTCTTCAAAGTCTACACATAGATGGCGTGTCATGGAATGTGTTGACAAGTTAAGCATTAATGCCAAATTTGCATACCTCACTCAGCTATTCACTTATACACACTTGCACACAAACAGTCGAAGCAGTTAGTAGGTCTTAGCAAATGACCTTGAAGAGCCAGGCTTGCTGACTGCTTCAGGGTTCGCACGAGAACTCACTGCTGTTTCACTTCACGGTGATGAAAATACTAACCAGCTGCAAATTGACGCAATTTAATTATGAAATGAAGGATCAAAGTGACTTTCTACTGCTTAAGGCGTAAGTCCACTTCAAACACGTCAAAATACTCAATGCAAACAAGTGTAACGCACTTTTTGGACAGGCGGAGGAGTTCCACGGACAGTTGCGAGTCTCTACTGATGTTGGTTGAGCAGACAGTCCGGTGATAGAGTACCAGGGGAACATTTCACCTGAGGGCATAATCATTTGGGAGGTGAGGGTGTCATTGTTGCTTAAATCCGTAGGTGGAAGACGTGCAAAAGGACTGCCATAGGTTGAGTCCAGTCGAACGAAAAGGAAGTCGGCGCCCACGTCATCGTTGTTGGCGTTTGCATCGTGCCCAAAATCCAAATCAACTTCATCATCAAGGAGGGTGAGATAGGCTGAAAGTTTGTAGTTAAGTTCATTGCACCAACAACGCAATTAAACTGATTTTTTTTTTAGTTAAAGAGCATTTTTTTGTGTGTATTTGTGTGAATGTGGCAACTGGTAGCGTGGGCCGACGCTACACTCCTGTGCCTTGTTGGGTCAGGTGAATAGAGGCGTTTGAAGGTGGGCACAGAAACACATACATCAATTCACTGCTGTAGGCTATTTTTAATGCAACCATCCACTTTGGTTGGGAGGCAATTTTGGATGTATCAGGGCTAAGCATCGGTTTTACTCACAAGTTATTGCAGAATGCGGAAGTCTCGATAAAAACGTCACCGAAATCGGTTATTTGCATGGAACAAGATTCTCTTTGAAGTGCTCGTGCAAGTGCTAATGAAGTTAAATTGCCCAGTGGGTAAAAGAGCTGCAGATTCCGAGGAAAAGGTATCGAGGAGTGCATCAATCTTATCCTCAGAGTGACTGACCAATCGAGGATTTGTAAATTCGGGATGCCACAGCACTAGTTTGTACTTTGCTGCGAAAAGTACAACGAAATGAAGTCTTCAAGCGGTATGAAGTGAAGTCAACGACGCAGTTTGTAGTTCCTCGTGTTGGAATGCGACACTCACACGACCAGCCACTGGAGGTCTCACCAAGCCTTAACCACTTTCCGATCAAGAGGCGTGAGAGAAGGAGGGAGAGAAGGAGGAGGTGATGTGCCATGTGATATGTCAGTTACTCACTTATAAGTGTAATCAGAGGTGCCGTAAAAAGGTGCTGCTTGTTAAATGTCTCTTTTAAGATTTGGCCAACTCCTAATTCAGCTTCAAACACCCGAAAACACTGCATAGTGTGTTTAGAGGCGGTCTTTTTTCTCCAACATTCTAGTGTGACAAAGCATTGCACATGCACTATGCAAATGCACATTTTTCAGAAGAAATATAAAACCACAGTTTGGTGTGATGTGGTTCAGGCGTGGAACTTTCTGACACCTTATTTGAAACGTCAACTACCAACCCGATCAACGAGAAGTAGAGGCAGTTTTTCGAAAATTGCTAGTCGTAATGCATAGTTAATGTAAAAAACAATCACTTAAGACGCAACTTTATAAGTATGGAAAGGAATATTACGCACAATTAGGGGTGGTACGCACCACAACTCGTTGTTCGTAAGAGCATAGAGTGAAAGCCACCTCTCATCGGAAAACAAAAATAAAAGTCAATCGCAAGGAGTACGTCAAAGACTAATGAGCTAGACAATGCCATGGTAAAGTTAAAAGCCTCAGATCCAAGGTGTCGGTGATCGAGCGTTTAATTACACAAGTGAAAGTTGAGGTTTTCTCTTCACAGAACTCAAAAGATCCAATAAGACTTAATACATCCACATACTACTAAGTTGTTATAAGCGAAAGGAGGAACAACGAAGGCATAGCTTACGTCCAGGTTTAGGAATCTCCTTCACGACGTAGTCTCCATGCGATGGTCGAAGAAGGAGGAGGAAGAGTAGGAAAAGTAGATGCATGTAACTCCACTGAGCTCTACGTTCGTGCATGGCGAACGTGAGAGAGATAGGACTGTTCTACTCAGATGATGACTGTGACTGAGGTACCCGATTGTATTTCAAAGCTGGAGAGCTTCTGATATGGGCGTCAATATCTGAATGTGTGAATGTGAATATGCACGTCGACGTTCTTCTTGCGCCTAATCGTGGCTGTGTGCACTGGTGCTTGCATTGAATATCTCTGCTGCACACGTGCGATGCCTCTCAGATAGCCAATCACAAAGGCAAGAGCAGCACACGCAACAGCTCATTGGTCAAGAGCGTGAGAGCCACTGGCGAGTCAAAGGTAGGTTCACTGGCAGTAGCGGTGCTGACTAATCTTGCGTACCGTGTGATCGCTTCGCCCCCAAACCTGATGACTAACCAACGTCCCCACCGTCATGGTGACCAACGCTCTTGGGAGTTGAAGCGTCAGCAGCAATGCGTGTTTTTTACTTCTAAAGCAGCACAAAATCAAAAGGTTAGCACATATCCTGTAAGTCGATTGCCAGCTTTGTGTTGTTATCTACCTGCCTAAACATTTAGGTGCTTCTTCAATTACTGTCCTTCTAAAAAGGGCTGCCAAAGTGTAAGCATCCATGCCTAAAGCGGGGGATATGCACATCCCTGCAGAATAGCGTAAAAATAACAAAACTTTACGAAAGTTGTTACTAAAAGTAAGCTTAGCTCAAGATCGCCCCTTCGCAAGCAAATCTTGTCGATACACTTGTTTTAGAGGCCCTTGAGTGTGGAGAAATTTTAAGACGAAACCCTGGCCTCGAGTTTATGAATGAGTGTGGAGTCAGCTAACCAACATTAATTTCAACTTTGCTAAAAGAAATTAATAGGATTGAAAGGTTGGTGCAAGGCCATCTCTGCCGTATGTTAACAGATAAAATCTAGCAACTGAAAGACCTGCCTTCCGCGCATGACCTTTAAGATCTGTGAACAGTGTGTCCATTTCTACGAAGACTGTTGGAGGCACAGATCGACTAGCCTTGGTAAGGTAGAATGAGTGTCAGGTTCTCACTCGGTAGAAATTATAATGCGATGGAGATGCATGCTGAAACGAACCGTATAGCTTTAGGGTGTAGATGATTGTCCAATATGGCGATGATTGGTTACTACAACCTGATGAGTCTCCAGCATCACAATTCCCAACCAGAAATCCTAGCCTACCGTGACGGACGAACACCTGGATGATATTGACCTCCATAAGTAAAACGTATACTTGGCCTGAGTCTTCATACTCACTTCCTTCGCTTTAATCAGGCCATTATTCATCTCCTGCACGTTGATTGGTGCGTGGTCAAGAGGCGTCTTCCCCAATTCTGATTGGTCCATTGTAACAATAACTGCAAATGACATTGGCGTGCTCACTACAGAGTGCTCAACTTGATGTTAGTGTGTTCAACTTTTCTATGCCACATGTAGAGGTGACGGTTATAATGCAATCTTAACGGTCTTCAAAAAAAAAAACTTGGCAAGTCCTGCCTAGTAAGTGAAATACTTGCTGGGGAGTGCGCTTGCTAAAAAAAAAAATGTAACCACAAGATAAAAGCAAAGCAGTGAGAGGGTAAAGGAGAAGGGAAACTTTTATTACCCCAATGAATGCGTAGAGAATATGACCGTGTAAGATTGGCGGGCGGTTATTCTGCGCGAATATGCAAATTATCCCAAATGCACCTCCATAAGAGCGGCTTATCAATAAAATTAACCGTAAAATAGAGGACTATTTAAGTTGGAAATGGATTAAATAGATGCTACTGTGAGAGGTCACAAATATACCCTCTTTAGGCTGACCTATGGATTCAAATGGAATGCGACATTTGAGAAAGTTGTGAGTTCACACGTTGGAGAACACACTTACGAGATATCACATTTCCATGAGGCAAGGAAATTTCCACTTCACTTTGTGCCCCTGTCTATCAGTCCCGGGCTAAATACTTTGAATTTTGTCTGTATCCCTTTGAGGAAAATGCTTGAGTAATGCCAGAAGACCACCTACCCTTCCCTTATCACTCTCGGAGGCATCAGTGGCAAAGCTGTGGTAAAAAAAATTGCAGGAAATTTCACTAATTCCATTAAATGTTTATCATTTCCCTTAAATTAAAGCGGCAATAACTCTCTCTCCCCTCATTTCTCCTCCTTCCCCCCTCCCTCTCTCTCTCTCCTGAATGAGTGACACAGCCTGGATAGTCATCGAGAGAAGACAAATTGTATGCCTCATTAGGGAAAAAAAAGTTAATAAAGATTGGCGGTTTTAGGAGATGATGATTCGACAGATTAAAGCTTTTCACCAGTGATAAAAACAGACCTCCTTCCAAGGCCAAATTGACACCCTCACATCGGGTGCAGGGGGCAGGGGAGGAGGTGGAAGTGCGAGTCATTGGGCTTTCACAATCAGTGCTTGGCAAAGGACCTGCGAGATCCATTTTTTACCCCCTTAAAAGCCTCTTTGTTGCGTCATTTTGCAACTGTTTTAGCGTAACCATGGCAGAATGCCTTAGAAGAGGTTACTAAAATTGTCTAACCAGAATATTACCTTCAAAAAAAAAAAATCAAACAATGGTATTTTACGGGTGGATTTAAGGCGTATGCAAGAATTTTGCCAAAGAGATGAGGCTATTGTGTGTGCTGTGTGCTGTGGAGGGACGATATTTTTAGCAATTGGCATTACCTCCTGATTTGCAGAAAATGGGACTTTGCATCCTCTGGGGAGGCACATTTGAATTGCACCCTCCGACAGGCGTTTCACTTCCATGCCATATCTCATACAGGTACTGGTCTATTCAATCTGATCATCGGAGAAATGTGGAAGGAAAATTCACTGGTAGTGGAGCTTCGGTGGGAGTTTGGTCAACACCGCACGAGTTGGCACCGATGGAATCACAAATACACCCA